AGATAAACAAGACTGAACAAGAATGAATGAATGAAATTCCTCCTCCTTTGCTATGCCAGATATTCGATTCTAGACTAGCCCCTCCAGATGTGAAAAAACAAACTTGACAAAATACATAAGAAAATTATTATCAGGCATTGGACAAGAGATAGTGTAAGCCTGATCCATAAGAAAAGGGCAATACATGAAGTCATCTCCACATTTACCCCCATTATTACCTGAGGACAACTTCTCAACCAGAGAACAAAGAACCTAGACTAAAGTTGAGGCAGCAGAGACATGTTCAACTGCAGCCAAAGGGAATGGAATCTGCAGAGCAGGTGCCAGAGAGGAGGAAGCAAGGCAGGCAGATGGATTGGGAGAAGAGACTCCAGATATCTATATAGGATGGTACTGCAAATCCTTGGCTGAGGGACAAGGTGGACTGTGAAGACAGAGACTACTTAAGGCTTAACACAGAGCTGCTTCAATTGAGTTAAGATGAGAATAGATAACAGAGGCTGAGTAATGCTAAGGGTCATTTATTTTGTTTCTCCCATAAAAATCATTATTTGAGTGTCAATTTTTTATTTATATATGACAGCGGAATGCATAGTAATTCTTATTATATAGAGAGAGCACAATTTTTCATCTCTGGTTGTATATAAAGTATATTCACACCAATTTGTGTCTTTAAAAAAAATCACTATTTTTATACATATATTACACTTATTTGTGTGTGCCCGTCATACTTTGAGGGAGAGATTTTCTCTGAGAATTTATTACCATCTATTTATATGCCAAAACACTAGATCAATATCTAAAATACTATCAAATTTTTCTGACTATATAAATTGTAAAGGAAAAAATAAAAAGTAAAATTTTTTTTTCTGAATATTCCTTTCTTAATATCTTTTTTAAAAACTGAGACACTGTTCACTTAGTAGCTGCTCAGAAGCTCTTAAATTACAAGCCATTTTAAAACCAGTATAATTTTTCATAAAATTAGGGCAAATGGATGAGTTACTTGAAAATTAATGGATATATTTCTAATCAGGAAAATGTTAGGGAATATTATAAGAAAAATTCAGTGTTCCCTGTTTTTCTAATTTAAAATATCTTTTAAATTATCACATTAAGATACTGTGTTTAAGTTCAGCTATTATAATAAAGAGCTATATGTCTAGCAACAATTCTAAGAAAAACTATCATTTTTATTCTACCAATTAGATCTTGAACAAAAACTGATCCTCTAATTCAAAAAATGTAATAGTTTAGTGTACTACTTATTCTTATCAAGCCCATAGTAAACATTCATTTTCTTTAAAGTTAGAACTCTCAGAAACTGTACAGGTCCCAACATTCCTTCATGATAAAAGAAAAAACATCAACAAACTGAGAAAGAACTAACTCCCTTAACCTGATCTATAAAAAACTCACAGCTAATATCATACTTCGTAAGAAACAGACTGAAAGCTTTCTCCTAAAGATCAGGAACAAGACAAGAATGTTCAGTCTCTCCATTTCTATTCAACAATGAACTTGAGGTTCTAGCCAAGGCAACTGGGCAAGACATGAAGATCAGAGGGACAAATGTAAAAACTATCTCTGTGGACACATCCCTAAATATAAAAAAATCCTAAAGAATAAACACCAAAACCAATCAACCAACCAACAAAACTAACAAGTAAAAATAATCTCAAAAGCTATTTGAGGTAATAAATGTGTTCAGCAAGATTATAGGTCTCAAGATAAAATATACAAAGCAACTGTAAGCCAGGCGCAGTGGCACATACCTGAGAACCCAGAAGCTCAGGAGGCTGAGGCAGGAGGATCAGAAGTTCAAAGACATCCTCAGCAACTTAGGCCCTAAGCAACTCAGCAAGATCTTATCTCTAAATAAAATACAAAAAAAGGACTTGGGATATGGCTCAGTAGTCAAGTGCCACTGAGTTTCAATCCCCAGAACCAAAAAAAAAAAGAATTTTATTTCTACATGTTTATAATGAGTAACCTGAAAATAAAATTTAAAAAACAATTCCATTTGCTATAAATCAAAAATAATAAAATACCTAGGAATAAATTTAACAAAAAAGTGTATGAATTTAACATTGAAAACATTAAGATCAGGCCGGAGCTGTAGCTCAGTGGTAGAGCACATGTCTAGAATGTATGAAACACCTGGTTTGACTCTCAGCACCACATATAAATAAATAAAATAAAGGTCCATTGACAACTAAAAAAAAAAAAAATATATATATATATATATATATATATATATATGAAAAAAATAAAACATTTAGTGTTTTCAATCCTTGAAAAAACTTAAAAATGACCTAAATAAGTGGAAATAAATCTTATGTTGATGGATTGGAAGACTTAACATTGATTTAAAGCAATGTTTCTTTTACAGATTTAAAGCAATCCCTATCAAAATATGAAATGGTTTCTTTGCAGAAACTGTCAAGTTTATACCAAAACTCATATGGAAATTCAAATGACCCAGAATAGTTAAAAACAATCCCAAAAAAGAAGAAAAAACTCAGAGAACTTACTCTTCTTGATTTCAAAACTAACTACAAAGCTACAATATAAGGTATTAGGAAAACAGAATAAGACTAGGCATACATATGAATGGAATAAAAGTGAAAAGTCTGGAAATAAACTCTCAAATTCACCGTCAGCTGATTTTTACAAGGTTGCAAAGATAATTTAATGAGAGAAAATATTGTCTTTTCAATAAAAAGCACTGGGATAAGTAGATATCTAAATGTGAAAGAATAAAGTTGGACTCATCCTCATACCATATACAAAACTCACTCTAGAAGGATCATAGACCTAAAGATAAAAGCAAAAATGATAATACTCTGAGGAAAAAAAACAAAAGATAAATCTTCATGACCTTGGATTTCACAATGGTTTCTTAGATACAACATGAGAAGCAAACAAAACAAAGGAATAGCTAAACTGGACTTAATCAAAATTTTTAAAACTTGTGCTTCCAAAGACACTATCAAGTGAAAAGAAAGCTCAGAATGAGGGAAAAAAAATCTAGAAATCATAATTCTCAAAAGGGTTTATGACTAAGTCAATTCTCAGTTGCTGTGACAAAAATGAGGATATAAACTACTCATAAGGAGGAAAACTTAGTTTGGCTCAGTTGCAAATGTTTCCTTCCATATCACTCGGCCCTGTTGCCTTTGGGCTTATGAACAGGCAGAACATCCTGGCAGATAGCAGGTGGCAGAAGAGGTCTGTTCAACCCATGGCAATCAGGAAGCAACAAGAGAGGGGAAGGGCTGGAGTCCAAATATCTCCCCCTTAAAGGACTTCTACAAGGCTCTGCTTCCTAAAGGTCCCACTTTCTCCCAATACAATCAGAAGCTGGTGAACAAGCCTTCAACACAAGGCCAAATTCCCAAAGGTCCCTAAGTCCCAAAAGTCCCAAAGGGGACATTTGAGATCTACACCAAATAGTTTAATATCCACAGTACATAAAGGATTCTTACAACTCAACATTAAAAAGACAAAAAACACAATTAAAAGTGGGAAAATGATCTGAACAGACATTTTACCAAAGAAGATATAAAAACTGCCAACCAGCACAAGAAAAAAATGCTCAGCATCATTAGTTAACAGGGAAATGTAAATCAAAAGCACAATGAGATACCACTTCCACCCCCTAGGATGGCTGGAATAAAAGAAACAGACAATAACACATGCTGGTGGGATATGTAAAATTGGAGCTCTCATCTATTACTGGTGAGAATGCAAAATGATGGCCATGCTTTGGAAAAACACCCTGTAAGTTCCTCAAGAAGTTAAACACAGAATTACTATATGATCTAACAATATATTCCTAGATGATATACCCACAAGAAATAAACCACATGTCTTTCCAAAAACTTTTACTTGCATGTTCATAACTCATTATATGTACTCTAAGAGTCACAACCAAAATGTCTATCAATAAATGAGTGGATAAATAAAATGACCTACGGTTACAAGTGTTGGGGAAAATGTGAAGCAACTGCCAATGAGCACAAGGTTTCTTGTGGGGGTAACAAAAATATTCTAATAATGACAATGATGATAACTGCACAAATCTGCCAACATACTAAAACCCATTCAACTTATACTTTAAATATTTGAATTGTAAGGTATGTAAAATATATTTCAATAAAGCTGTTTAAAAAATACATGTGGCTCAAAATTTGAGGACTGGAAGAGGAGAGCACAAGTGAAGGGATATTCGGATATTTGGAGACCCTAAATTAAGTTACACACAACTCCCACTGAAGACACCACAAAATAAAAATAAATGACCTCTATGGTGACTTATCTAAGACATAAATTTATATGATTCTGCTTTCCTTTTGAGAATCATGTAGTGAGTTCTTAATAAAAAATATCTGGTCTTAAATAGAGCTAGTCATAAAATTTATCTAGGCTTAAATAATAATATTCTAAAATTATCTATTTGTGAATAGGAAACAATACCAAATAATGATAAGAACAATCAGAATTAGCCTTATGATACAGCTGTAAAAGAAACTCAAAACATGTCAGACACAGTGACAGAATGACGTGAATTATCTCCAATTCTCAAAATAACAACAGAAGTGAGTGACCATAAATATGTCCTAATGTAAAATCTTGACATTTTAGAGCTTAAAGAAATTCTACCGTGCACCTCACTTGAAAAAAATGAGGCAGCACTACCTTTGCAGTCTCTGATCAGCCTTGGCTATTTCCATTACTCACTGGCTTTTAATATATCATACCAGGTTGTCTGCTCATGTTTCCAGACATCCTTGGCAAAAAGCAAATGAGGAATCACAGACAAGCTGTTTTGGAAACTCATGGATGTGCTGAATAAAATATCTCAAATTCACCTTTTCATATTTTAATACAATAAAATAGAAATATTCTTGTTACTGGGTCAGTATGTAGAATTCTATCACAGGGGAAAGGTTAGATGGGATTTGTAATACTAATTTACAGATACCTAGAACTCTTACCTTTGTGGTCACAAGAAAGATGGTATAAAGGAACATAAGATTATGCTTTGATATGGTCAGATGCTTGGTGTGCTGAAATGTGAAGATAAGGGACCCCAGCAGGGTTACCTTGGAAGGGCTGAAAATAAAACATATTTTAAGATAGTAGTTAATAAAAATGTAATCATAGATAATTAATAAACTATATCTTTCTCAAAGAGTACACTGTACAACATTTTTTTTAAAATATTTATTTTTTAGTTTTCGGCGGACACAACATCTTTGTTTGTATGTGGTGCTGAGGATCAAACCCAGGCCGCACGCATGCCAGGCGAGCACACTACCACTTGAGCCACATCCCCAGCCCCTGTACAACATTTTTTAATGAGCTACTAACAGATATTAACACAAAATGAGATTTGTGAATTTACTTAAGAGTTCTGGAAATGCTAAGTCATACAAAATTAAATACCTTTCTTCACAGTATAAAGTATCAAAGATTTCAGAAATGTCTATGTATGTCATGGCTTTCTAAAAGGTGAGTATATTTCCATAATGCAACATTTCTAAAACATACTTTGAACATATAACATTGTTCCAAAAAGGAGCTGAAAGTCTCATGTTTCATAGCATGATTTGGAATTAGTATTGAAAAACCTTCAGTGCTAAACAAGCTGAGGGATGTGGCAGTAGGAGAGGAGAGGGTGAGAGGAGGGAAATTCACCCCCAATTTGTAGTGTTTGCCTATTTCCACATAGCTAATTTCAGGCTGCTGCATGCAATGAAAAAGAGATATACACAACTGGCTCCATAAAACAATATGAGCCAACTCCAACACATCATATTAGCTTTTGCTAATATCTTAATGCTGAAATTGTAAGTCTACAATGAGTTACTAATGGATCAAATAAGCAACATTACTTTGATATTATATACCCGCCACATTATTTAAAGTATACCTCAGTAATAGATCATTATCTAGCTTCTCTATGCTTACCATAAAGATAAATGATACACTCTCAGAATGCCATATCACAACATGACAAATTTAAAGATCCCTATAAGTCACTTTATTTTTTTAAATAGGTTATTTAATTATTATATACTAAAGATTAAGTTCAAAATAGGAGTAAGTTTAGGCAACAGGATTTGGAATTCACTTACCAATATACTGAGTAACATATTTTAAAACAGTGATCTCTAAGTTTTTATTTTATATCCCTATAGGTCTTTATGTTTTAGATGTTCCCTAATATGTTTCTTAATTTATAAAAGTATGCATACATACATAATTTTATTATAAACTGTACATAAAACTGAAATTCTAAAAGGATAAGATAAAAACAAATGAAATGAGATTTGTCTTCAAGTTATTTTTCAACTATTCATTTCTACTAGTTTGGTTTCTGTACCAAAGTGGGTCATTACAGGTATGGCCTTGGCATACACATCTTCCATTTTGGATTACATTCTCTTGAAGGTTGAATTTGAAGAATAATGATTTTATAGATACTAAACTGGAGTAGGACACTGGAGAAGGGTTAGAATTAGGGGAAATTCCATTTTAAATCAAAGTGTGAGATTTGTCAGGAAACTCAGGATGTATTAGAAAATTGTAATATATACTAATTTCCTGTAAAACTAAAAACAAGTTTTCTAGTTCCACAATGGTGGAACAGGTACTGGGTAATAGTTACAGACATTCTCATTCCAAAAGGAAGAGAATAAAATAAATATATCATTGGTACCAAGCAATTTCAAAATTCAGCAGGGCAATTCCATTAGGTTTCAAGGCTTGGGGATAATCCTCTATGGATGGATACACTGTCCTGAATCTGCAGCTCTAATCTCTACACTCATGTCTTTGGTTTCTGCACCTCTGACTCCAGACTGTAGGGCTAGACTCAGGCCTCTGGGATGCAGTCCCCACCATGAAGTCATTATTCCTTTTCCTTTAGAGGGCAGCACACTTCTGTAGCTGCGCAGTTTTATCAGCCTATTTTTCACCTAAGGAATTCCATGAGTTTGATAATCTTCTTTCATTTCATCCTGTCTCTGTTCTTGCAGTCCAAGCTGGCAGTATATCTGCTAATTTAACATTTCTAACACTCTCTGGGTTTCCTGGGATCCATGCCATTAGTCAAGCGAATCCTTCCTCCACAAATCTTTCTTGAATAATCTCCTCTCTATTCCTGGGCTTCGGCTATGATGGCTGAAATTTATCCATGAATCACATGCCTAATCCCTTCAACTCTAGTAAAAGACTGTCCAATTAAACCCTTGACCAGAGAAAAAAATTTTTCTTACTAGAGAAAATCTTCCTAAGCATGAATCTAAGTTTTTAAATATTTTATTTGTTCTTTTTAGATATACACAATAGTGGACTGTATTTTGACATATTATAGATACATGGAGTATATTTCCCATTCCTGTGGTTGTGGAGTTACAGTGATCATGTATTCACATATGAAGTTAGGAAAGTTATGTCTGATATATCCTACTGTCCTTCCTATTCCCTTCGTGTTAGCATGCGCATATCAAAGAGAACATTCAGCCTTTGGTTTTTAGGGACTGGCTTATGTTGCTTGCATGATAGATTTCAGTTCCATCTCTTATGGAAAAATGCCATAATTTCATTTTCTTTATAGCTGAGTAATATTCCACTGTGTATATATACCACATTCTTTATCCATTCATTTGTTGAAGGGCACCTAGGTTGGTTCCATAGCTTAGCTATTGTGAACTGAGCTGCTATAAACATTCGTATATATATATATATTATGCTGATTGTAAGTCCTTTGGGTATATGCCAAGGAGTGGGATAACTGGGTCAAATGGTAGTTCCATTCCAAGCTTTCTGAAGTACCTCCATACTGCTTTCCAGAGTGGTTGTACCAATCTGCAGTTCCACCAGCAATGTATGAGTGTACATTTTTCCCCACTTCCTCCCCAATATTTATTGTTACTTGTACTCTTGATAATTGCCATTCTGACTGAAGTGAGATGAAATCTCAGTGTAGTTTTAATTTGCATTTCTCTAATTGCTAGAAAAGCTGAACATTTTTCCATATATTTGTTGGCTTGATCATATTTCTTCTGTGAAGTACCTGTTCAGTTCCTTTGTCCATTTATTGACTGGGTTATTTCTTTTTACAGTGTTAAGTTTTTTGTTTTTGGGGGGTTTTTTTTGTTTTGTTTTTTGTTTTTAGTTTTTTGTATATCCTGGAGATTAATGTTCTATTTAGGTGAAGGTGGCAAAGACTTACCCCCAATTCCTTAGGCTCTCTCTTCACATTCTTGATTGTTTCCTTGCTGTGAAGAAGCTTTTTAGTTTGATACCAACCCATTTATTGATTCTTGATTTTACTTTTTACTCTTTAAAAGTTTTGTTGAGGAATTCAGTTCTGAGGCCAACATGGTAGACATCTGGACCTACTTTATCTTCTTCTAGTAGCTGCAGGGTCTCTGATCTAATGCATAAGTCCTTGATACACTCTGAGTTGAGTTTTGTGCAGGGTCAGAGAGAGGGGTTTAGTTTCATTTTGATACACATAGATATCCAGTTTTCCCAGCACCATTTGTTGAAGAGGCTATCTTTTCTCCAAAGCATGTTTATGGAGCCTTTGTCCAGTATAAAATAACTGTATTTACATGGGTTTCTCTTTGTCTTCTATTCTGTACCATTGGTTTTGGTGCCAATACCATGCCAGTTTTATTACTATCACTCTGAGTTATAATTTAAGGTCCGGTACTGTGATGCCTCCTGCTTCACTTTTCTAAGAATTACTTTGGTAACATGAATCTAATTTTGTCATGCAACCTGTATAGGCTGAGAGTATGCCACTGCCTTGGAATGACTTTTTGAATACCATATCAAAATCTCAAGCTACAAAAGCAAAAACAAATAAATAAACAGGATTCTATCAAGTTAAAAAGCTTCTGTGCAACAAAGGAAACAACCAATAAAGTGAAAGGGCAGGGCTAGGGATGTGGCTCAAGCGGTAGCGCACTCGCCTGGCATGCGTGTGGCCCGGGTTCGATCCTCAACACCACATACAAACAAAGATGTTGTGCCCACCGAAAACTAAAAAAATATAAATATTAAAAAAAATTCTCTCTCTCTCTCACTCTCTCTCTTTAAAATAAATAAATAAATAATAAAGTGAAAGGGCAAACCACAGACTAGGAGAATATTTAAACCTAGTATATGATACATGGTTAATATCCAGAATTTATTAAGAAACCATACAATCTAACAGCAAGAAAATATATAACCAGGTTTAAAAAGGAAGCAAAGGAACTTAATATTTCTCCAAAGGACATAAAAATAGCCAACATTACTAATCATCAATGAAATGCAAATTAAACTACTGTGAGATACCAACTCACACCCATGAGGGTAGCTATTATCAAAAAGACAAAACACAAGAAATGCTGATAAAGGTATGAAGAAAATGGAACCTTTCACACTATAGTAGGAATTAAAACTAGTATAACAAAGTATGGAAAACAGCATATAGGTTCCAAAAGATATTAAAACTGAAAACTCCCATACCATAGTGGGGTTTGGGCATTAGGGGACTTTTACATCAGTAAAACAGAAGAAAGTCCAGAAACAGAGCCACAAATATGTGATCACTTGATTATGGGGGATAAAAAAACAAGGGTTAACAAGGCACTAAATGGGCAAAAGGAAAGTCTTCCCAAGAAATGGTGCCAAAACAACTGCATATAGAAGGGAAAAATAAATATCAAATCCTACACAATACTATTTATACAAAAATTAAACTTGAAATAGATCATAGACTTAACTATAAAAGCTAAGAGTAGAAATTTCTTGAAACCATTAGAATAATAACTTTGCAATTCTGGATAGGCAAAGACAACTCAGAATATGAAAGTATTAAAAAATTGATAAATTGATCTGTACCAAAAGTCTACAAACACACATCAAAGAAATGGCATTTTATGTGTAATATGAATTGTAATGCATACTGCTGTCATACATAACAAATTAGAATTAAAAAAAGAAATGGTATTCAGAATATATAAAGAATATAACAAGGGCTGGGATTGTAGTTCAGTGGTAGACCACTAGCCTAGCACTAGTGAGGTACTGGGTTTGATCCTTAACACCACATAAAAATAAATAAATAAAATAAAGGTCCAGAAACAAAAATTAAAAAATATAATAAGACAAACAATCTAATCATAACAGTAGGAAAAGGTATATACAGATACTTCTCAAAACAGACATAAAATGGCCAATAAGCATATGAAAAGATGTTCAACATAGTCCACAGGGAAATACTAACTAAAATCACAATGAGAAATGTACTCACTATAATTTCTAAAAATAAAAAGACTGACAATCCCAAGGCTTGGCAATGATATGGAGCAACTAGAACTCTTAAGACACTTTGGGAAAATGGGCAATGGTTTTTAAAAAGTTAAATGTACACCTACTATACAACTCAGCCATTCCCTAATATGTTTACATAAATAAAATGAGAATGTGTTCACACAATGATTCACATACAAATGTTGAAGGAACTTTTGCTCAAAATGGTCGAAACTGGAATCAACCCAAATGTCCATCAACAGATAAAATAAAATGTGATTGCTCCATAAAATAAAATATAGCACAAAAAGGAAGAAACCAGCTCATCCACATGTTGAACCTCAAAATTGCTATGATGAAAGAAAGAAGCTAGATCCAAAAGAATATACAAAATCCATTTACATAAAATTCTAGAAAAAAAAACAGATTTCTGTCTATAATCAAGAATGGAGGGAGAGATGGAATGCAAAGGGACAAAAGGAAATTTGTGGATTAATGGAAATATTCTTGATAGTGATCACTATTCCTTTATTATATATTTCTGTTTAAACTCAACAAAAATTATATTCTTTAAATGGATGCAGTTTACTCAATATAAAGTTTTAGCTTAATTAAAAAATTAAGAAATGCACAATTTAAAAAGGAAAGAAAGAAAAGAAAAAACATTCTAAATACCTAGGTAGCAATAAGCAAGTCTTCTAATATCTCTGAGCCTTAGTTTTCTAATCCATGAAGTAGAAATAATACCTGCTTTTTAGGTTTATTGAGAGTATTAGTGATAACATATATGTTTTTAGAAGTGTCTACATAGCACCTGATAGGATAAAGCCTCAGAAAATAGCTTTGGATTCTGTTTTCAGTTCCACTTATTCTAAAACACTGATTTTATACACTATTCTCTAAGGCTTTACTTTGGAATATATTATGTTCAAACTACCTCTTATAAGCTTTAAAGGGTACTTTCCAAGTTGAATATCCTGGGATTTATTGGTTCACTCAAAAATACTACCTCATTCATAATGCTTGTGATCTTTATATTTAATCCATTAATTATAAAATGAGCTTACAAAAATCAACAGTAAGAGCAGCTTATTATGGCCACTATTCCTAAAGTCTTCTCTTTCTCAACCTGTGTGAATAATAACTCTATTTTCCATTTCATTTTCAGGTGCACCAGGTATATACCTATGACTTATTTATAAGATTTGAGTTGTTGTCTTTAGAAAACATCTAATGATTAGATTCTTTTCTCTAAACAGATGTGACCTACAGTTTGCATTACACAAATATACAGTGGTTTTTTTTTGCTAATCTTTTTCTTACTTTGATACTTAAACTCACCTGTAATTTTTAAAACCACTCTCAGGATCTTATGATAATGTACTAATTTATTTTCCCATTAATTTTGACATTTTACTACTAGAGCTATGTATAAACTGAAATGTGTGCGATGTCACAATCACTAATGAAAATGCCAAGAGCCTATAATTGATTCATTTCCATCCAGAGAACTCTGCCTCTAAGTAGATCTCTCTTCATAAGTATATACTCTTCCCATAATTCTATGATAATCTGAAGGGTTTTGTTTTGTTTTATTTTGTTTTGTTTTTTAAGGGGATAAATCCTCAGAGAAGTGAATCAATATTTATTTTAAAACTTCATTTGAGAGAGAAAACTTTTAGAAAGAATAAAATTGGGGGGTTTTCTTTCCATTGTCATTACCATTTATTTTTTCAGCTATATTTCATTACACTTGGGAGTTCTAAAAATGTTGTTAAAAAGATCTAAGAACGGGGCTGAGGCTGTGGCTCAGTGGCAAAGTGCTTGCCTCGCATGTGTGAGGCCCTGGGTTCGATCCTCAGAACCACATAAAAGTAAACAAATAACATAAAAATATTGTGTTCAATACTACAACTTAAAAAAAAAAAAAAGATCTAAGAACAAAATCCAGATCTCAGTAAAATATTTACCAACTTACTAGGACATCTTCAGCCATTCATTACCTTCTGGTTTCCAATCTCCTTTTAGTAACTGTTCAAAATTTGTGATAATGATACCACCTGCACCTAAAAATAAAAATTAAAAAATAAACAAGATTATTTAGTAACTTTCTTAAGAATATTTGAGGAGAGCCATAATTCTACCACCTGATTTAAAATCCAAGAGGATTCCCAAACAGAAATCTTGGAAGAAAGAAAAAAATTGCTTTGTAAGCTTAGGATACTGAAACATCTGCAATTCTCCCCTTTCACCAGCACGGCAATTGTCTATTTTACTGCACTTAAGCTTAAATTTGGGGTCTCAAGCACAGAGGTATGGCTAGAGGTTTGTTTCAGACCTAAAAAATAAAATCATATGTTTTACCATTTACTCTCCTGATATAATTAGTTTTAGGTACAGTATACTATAACAAGTTATTAGAGAAATTCATTCAATTCCTACAGAAAGCAACAATAAAAGCAACTGATGCATGAACATGAATCTATAACCAATCATATTTACTATTTCCAGTAATTCAAATTGGAGGAAAAGAACACAGAAAGAGCTACATAATTTCTTAAGTAAACTTGTTTTATTTATGTTAAAATAATTAACATAAATGTCTCTGGTTCATAAATCAAAGATAAAAATGAAATCAAAATCATAAAAATTTTATATAACAGTTAGGCTCAAAATAATGGCTGATGAACTAGTACTAGTGAAAAGTTCTAGTTTTTAAATAATTTTGCTAGCCAACAGAAACAAAGTTTCTACCTCCAAAAAGACTGTTAATAAAAGTATGCCATCCCCATAATTATGGTACATCAATAAGAGAATACCTATGAACACATATTGTTAATATTACCTTGGGCCCATCCAATAGCTATCATGACTAACCAGCCATTTTTGTAATAGCTATTAGCATGTGTGATTCCACCTATTATTTTCCAAGTTCTGGTCACTTCCTTCATTCCCGCAGCCAGAAGTTGAACAGGTAAGAATGAATAGCCCTGGGAAATAAGGTCCCAAGGGCAAAAAAATATAATATACCTGAAATTAAAATTTAAATATTTTAATATGTGCACAGAATCAGAAGAACAGAAACAAAACTCTATCAGTACTAACAATATGGCATAACACAATAAATGGAATTATCCATGTAAACTTAGAATAGGAATCCAAGAAAAGCACATACTGTATAGGAAGGTCAATCTTTTAAATCACATGTCAAAATGTCATGATCAGCTGGGTGTGGTGACATACACCTGTAATTCCAGCAGCTAGGGAAGCTGAGTCAGGAGGACTGCAAGTTCAAAGCCAGCCTCAGCAAAAAGTGAGGTGCTAAGCAACTCAGTGAGATCCTGTCTCTAAATAAAATACAAAACAGGGCTGGGGGTGTGGCTCAGTGGTTGAGTCACCTGAGTTCAATCCCTGATACCAAAAAAAAAAAAGTCATGACCTTGTGAATACTCCATAAATGGATGAAGTATCTACTGAGTTCCTAATTTGTGCCTATTTTCTGGAAGTATTGAATCAACTAACAAAATTAAGCAAAAGCATAATCACTTTTAGGGGTGAAGACTGCTCTAATTACACAATGTCAAGCAAGGTTGTTAAAGAACACTCTTTCATACAACTGAAAGAATATAAGCCTGGTTTTTAAAATTTAGTTGAACATGCTTAGTTTTAACCAATCATGTTTTAGAAATGAAGAGAAAATAAGTCGTTTTTTTTCTAGTAAAAATTTCTGACATTATTTGAACAGATGCTTAGGACAAGTGAAATTTAAAAAATAATTCACCAGAGGTGAATTGTTCTTAAAATATTAACAACCCTGCTTGCTTTTGAGCTATCACCTATCTTTGTATAGATTTATGTTGTTCACAAAGAGGCACAGGAAAGAAGTTACTGGGGATTGAGTGCAACCCTTTCTCAATTACCAAATGCCCTTTTCTCCAATTCATTTTTCTAGAGTATAAAGACATTGTATATGTTTTAATAAAATAAAATTATACATTAGAATTAGAAAAAATTAGTTTTCACTTTAACAGAAATTAAATTCAAAGGTAAAATACTGAAAGGAATAACAAAAACAATAGTACAAATGACCCCATTTCTCAATCCCTTCACTAAGTCTATCTTTAACATGAGTTAAAAACTTATGCTATTACAAGAGTAATCTTGGACTTTTCATATTCAAGATTTTATAATTATTTCTATTTCTGAATTAGTAAGTCCTTAATCAGATATTCCTAAATATGTGAATACCTACAATAAGCTAACACATTAAACAAACAAACAAACAAAAAAACACTCTCCTTGAGTGCTAAATAGCCACAGAGCAAAAGATCATTTATTTTGTTCAGAAGACTTATAAATAAACATATCAGAAACACTGAATCTCTAAAACAACTATTCCTACTCTGTAACATAAATTAGATTTTTTTAAATTCCTTTAATGAATCACTCAACTAACACTCATTAAGTAATCACATGTCCCTCCTTATAACATCTCAGATACATTTAACTTCTAAAAGTGCCTAAAGAAAACATAACAGAAAAAAGAGAAAAATGAATGACAATAATGGATTTCTCACACATTTTTAAGTCTCATGGATTAAACTGATAAAGAAAGAAAAATGACCAAGGATAGAAATTAGTCCAAAAACAAGATACAAATAAAATCCTACACCACCAACAAATGAAAGCTAAACCACTTAAAGTAAGAAAGATGGGAGTAAAATTTCCCAAGGTTAGTCACTGAGAATTCTGTACTATCAATTCCATTCCTCTACAAAGATATTATCACTTAACTAAACCAAAACAGAACACTAAATAAATATAATTAATGTTGGTTCAATACAATAGTTTCCTCTTGTTCTTATTACTCTAATAAATTATTTTATATATGTGCTTTGAAAAAAGACTTACCCAATGACAGCTTGTCTAAATGTAATTTTAGCTATGCAACTGTATAATATGCAACATACAATAAGTTACACTTGGGAATTTAAGTTCAAGGTAAAAAAAAAAACCCTGGGGAATAAAAATCAATATGTAGGAAAATTATAAAATATTTGCTTCCTCAGAAGCAGATTTTCAAAAAGAAAACTCCATCTATAGGCTGGGGTTATGGCTCAGCGGTAGAGCACTTGCCTAGCACGTGGGAGGCACTAGGTTCGATCCTCAGCACTACATAAAACTAAATAAATAAAATAAAGGTATTGTGTTCCAACTACAACTAAAAAAAAAATTTAAAAAAAGAAAAATCTTTCTAACCGATAATTATGACATAACCAAGTTATTGTTTCTGTATGCCAGTAGATGGTGCTAATCTCCAGATGTGTGCACTATGATACTAAAGATGACCTTACTTGCTAGAATTTACACTCCAAACATCATTTTAATTTTCAAATTAAAATTAAATGAAGTAGTTGGGCACAGTGGCACATGCCTGTAATCTCAGTGACTCAGGAGGCTGAGGCAGGAGGATCGCAAGTTTGAGGTCAGCCTCAGCAACTTAGTGAGCCCCTAAGCAATTTATATAGATGTGGTCTCAAATTAAAAATAAGAAGGGCTGGGGATGTGACTCAGTGGTTCGATACCGAATACCAAAAATAAAGAAAGAAATAAGAAAAATTAAATGAAGCAAAGACTATATATTTATTCTAAATATTAAAACTTTAAAGGAGAAAATAGTAACACATACTATATGTCTTTAAATCAGAACCTTTTTTATATGTAAAGGTCTATGAGGACAAAGAAAAGATTCCTATTTGCAGAATAGGATGCAATATTGTCAGGTGTGGTGGCACACTCCTATAATCCCATCTACTTTGGAGACTGCAACAGGAGGATTGAAAGTTCAAGACCAGCCTCAGAAACCTGGCAAGACCCTCTCAAAATTTTAAAGGGAGGAAGGGGCTCAGTGGTAGAGTGCCCTGGGTTCAATCCCCAGTACTTGGGGGAAAAAAAAAAAAAAGGAATACATTGCATGAACAAAGCACAAAGAACTAGATAGATACCCTAGGTTCCAATCACTTAGTATCTGCAATCCCTTGGGTAAGTTATTAACTCTGCATGCCTTATGCCTCATGCCTCAGTTATATGATCTGTGAAGAGTGAAACAATACTTACCTCACAAGATTCATGTGAGGTTTAAATGAGATAGTAAATATAAAGCACTAAGAAGAGTGTCTAGGACATAATAAATGATATATAAATTACTATCATTACTGTGGTTTTGTAATGCACAACAAAACAACTGGAACCAATAAAATGCTCATCAACAATAAAATAAATATAGATATCAATATAATGGATTAAACAGCAATGGGAAGGAATGCACTATGGCTACACACAAAAACATACAGATGAATCTTAGTAATATAATATCAAGTGAAAAATTAATGCCCAGGAAACTAGTCAGTATGATATTCCATTTTAAAATGGGTTCAGGTGCTAGGGGCTTATATAGCTCAATGCTATAGTGTGTGCTTAGCATGTTATAATGCCCTGGGTTCAATCCCAGAACCACAAAAAATAAATTAATTAAAATAGTGCCTCAAATAACCCAAATTTTCATCAACTAATTAAAAGGATTTTTAAAATGTGAAAAAAAAAAATAGGGCCTCAAACAAACAAAACTAAAAATACTATTCCACCATGCGTCCAGCGCACTGGTTTCATTAATGAGGTTCTTGGCATAAAAGTTAACTAGTGAGATCGAAATAAACACACAGACTCAGTTACCTTTTTCTATGACCAGGTCCCAGACGGCTCTCCCTCTGGTTCATACCTCGAACCACCCGGTAGGGCAGCAAGGATTACTCAGGGCTAGCAGGAGAGAGAGAGAGGGAGCACGCCAGGGAGTAGCCTTTTATTGGGGAACAAGAAATTCAAGGGAGAATTCCATCCAATGAAGGTCTGGGTCAGTGACTGGTCCCCGGGGTCAGTGGTCAGTCACACCCCCACACGGACAGGCTCTCGCACCAGGAGAGGGCCGGGAAAGCTCCGACACAGTTTAGCCAGAGCGCCTCAGACCCAAACCGGGAGTTGCCCAGTCACGTGTGAGAATGGCTCCCCACATACTATTATTTATTCACCAATATAATATAAATTTTTCTAAAAGGTAAGATAAATACAACCATTAGGGTAGAGGTTATCTGTGAAAAATTAGAAGACAGGACAGAGGAAGAAAATGTATAAATGTATAAAAATTACTGGTAGAGTCCAGTTCTTAGGTTGGGTGCAATGCAGTGAGAATGTAAATTAATATAATGGTTTTGGGAAATGATCTGGCATCATATAATACAGTTTAAGAATCATTTTCCCTATAATTGAATATTACTCTTAAGCATATGCGAAGAGAAAATCTTACATATGTACACCAGTAAATATGTATGAATTTTCTTAGAAATACTGTTTATGATAGGAAAAAAGTAGAAACAACTGTCAGTAGAGAAAAGGAAAGATTATGACGTGATAATTCTGTTATGCTATACAACAGTGAAAATTGATAAATTACAACCACACACAATAAAAATGAATTTCAGGAATAGAGGTTGAACAAAAAACAGCAAGTTACAGAAAAACATATATGATTCCATTTATAAAATTTCAAAAATTATATTGTTTTGAGATATAAACATTGCTAAAGCTACATAGAAAAGCAAATGAATAATAAGCACAAAACTATGATGATTCCCTCTGAGGAAGGAAAAAGGGGGACTAGAGAAGATACTGGGGACATCAAAACTAATAGAAGGATTCTGGAAAGATGGTAGTGATTGAATATATCTTAATTTACTCAAATCCCACAGAAAAACACAGAGCAACGAGACAGCCAACACTAAAATCCTATATACAATACTAATAAGAAAACCTCTCAGACCCCAAAAGCAAGTGGGAAGAGACAAATCACCAACACTCAGAGAGACCAACAGGAAAAAGATACAAGCTCACAAACAAAATAACACTAAAGGGAGCAAATGGGCACTCACCAGAAAGTACATGTAGGCCAATTTGAAGAAAAACTAGAGGGTTTCTGT